CCCCTCTCCCATTCCCTACCTGGGGCCTGGCCCCCCTCTCCCTGCCCTGCCTGGGTTCTGGCTCCCCTGTCCCTGCCCTGCCTGGGTTCTGGCTCCCCTGTCCCTGCCGTACCTGGGGCCTGGCCCCCCTCTTCCTACCCTACCTGGGGCCTGGCCCCCCTCCCCCTGCCCTGCCTGGGGACTGGCTCCCCTGTCCTGCCCCGGGAGCTCAGCCCTTGGAAGCGGCTTTCTCAAAGGGCCCAGAGCCACTTCCATTGTCTGAGGCTTTGGGCAAATTTAAAATGCTAGACCAGAGTTGCCGGGAGTGTGACACCCCTGAAGGCTGACATTTGACCATGCGATCTCTCCATGTGGCATAGAGCTGGGGTCCGACCGTGCACAAAGAAGCACCAGCTCCTGCCCGAGCTCTCTCCAGCTGCAACATGCACTCCGTCACCCCGCTCATCCTCCTGGTGATTCACCTGCTCGGTCTCAGTCATCAGCTAGTCAGCAGCAGCAGCATCCAGCATCCCGAAGAAGACCGACCAGCCCAATGGAGAGCCGAGGGCGGGAGGGAACCGGGCAGGAGCCAGCCCCAGGAGGAGCACCAGGTGCCTCTGCTGGGAGGAGCCCTGCTTCCTGAGGTCACAGAACTTTACACACCTCTTCTCTCCATCCTCTCACGGGGGCAGGGCAAGAGCTGGGGTTGCCATTTGGCCAGTGGGGAACAGAGGCTCCCAGAGACTCTGATGGCCCAGTGAGGGGCTGGATGAAATGCATCCTGTGCCTTCAGGCTGCTTTGGAACGAATCTGGGGTCACCTGTCCTGTCCCAGCACCAAGCTTCAGCCCCAAGCCCAGGGGTGAGGGAGGAGGGCTCGGGTCCCTCCTGGGCAGTAGGGGGTGAGGATGGGCTAGGGGTGAACACAGCACATGCTAGTGCTTGGAGGCATTCCCGAGCCAATCCCCTCCCCCCCCCTCCTCCCAGCCTAGGAAATGGTAGAGGTCAGAAGCAGCTGGAGAGGGGGGTCCACCTGTCTGGGTGGTGGGTGGGCAGAGGTGAGGAGTGCACCATCTAGAGCAGATGGGGGCACGGAGACTCCCATGCCCCCGGGTACCGTGAGTGTGGCTCATCCCAGCCCCACAAGAGCCCCGGGGGGAAGCTGTTGCTGCAGGTGGAGACTCCGGTACACAGACACCCTCTCAGGATCTCCCGGCTCCGAAGGCTGCACACCTGGCTTCCTCCCCACCCTCGGCTCCGAGGCTGGCTGTCCTATGCTTCTGCAGAGCCAGCCACCGGAGGGACCGCACAGCCTGGCTCCACCTTGCAAGGCCCTGGCCACCCCCCACCCACCTCCGTGAATCACAGCGCCCCCGCCACAGTGTCCAGCCCAGAAGGCTTTGATGGTTCTGTCTGTGTCCATCAGGGTGCCAGGGGCCCAGGATGTACCCAGGAAGCGTGAGGGGAGGGAGGCCCAGAGAGCGCACAGCCTAGTTCTGGGCGTGCCCAAGCCTCCAGAAGGCTGGAGACGAGACTCGAGGGCAGCCGACTCCGGGCCTGCCCCGACTGGCCTGGCCAGGGCTTCAGTTTTTACATCCACACCTTCCGCTTCTCTCGCTGTTCTAGGGAAAGGCTGGGGGTTGGAAGCAGCCGGACAGCACCTCGGCCCTGAGCAAGCGGCTGCCACCCACGTCCCCAAAGGGGGCCCTCCTCTTACAGCGTGGCCGCCGGATGCCTCTCTTTGCCAGGGATACGCAGGGTGTCGAGGGATCCAGGGATGCTGGAGGAGCTGGCCTTGTGCCCAGAGAGACTGGCACCTGCCCGGGTCTGGCCTGCCCACTGCCCTCCTCTCACCCCCAGACTCAAGTTCCCGCCCCATTCCTCTGTGACCCCAGCCTGTTGAGGAGGAAGCTCCTTCCCTTTCTTTACAAAAAGCAACCTGCACAAGAATTCTCGGAACCTGGCCCAGGCGAGAAGGCCATTATTAGTTCTTCCTGCCACTGGCACTAAGAAAGCAATTCTGAAAAGGGGACCAGTCAGTAGGAGGCCAGATGTCTCCCAGGTCAACAGGGGAGCTGACCAGCACGCCTTTGGTGCTGAAGCGGGGCCTCCTTTGGCAGGATGTGTCCAGGAGACACAGCGGGCTCCGTGCAAGGGCTCACGATACTTCAGGCCCCCCGAAATGTTCTTATTTCTTCTAAAATCAGAAGGAGAAAAATCAACTTCTAGGTTGAAGAAAATGTCTCAATGTATAATATGAATCTATTCCTCTTTATGCCAATGCGGTCATAAAATGTGATTTTTAATATTCCTGTGTTGGAGGAGGAAGGGGCCCTTCTTCTGGACGTAGCCAGTTCAGAGTCAGTTTCCAGGAGAGAGATTCTGACTGGTCAGCCTGTGTCGGGGGCCCATACTGGGACCAATAACTAAGACCAGTGGGTAGGGTGACCAAGCCCAGGCTTGACTACCGGACCTCCGTATAAAGGGAGAATGGGGGCGCCTGGGTGGCTCAGTCAGCTGGGCGTCTGACTTTGGCTCAGGTAATGATCTCATGGCTCGTGGGGTTGAGCCCAACCCCACGTTGGGCTCTGTACTACCAGCTCGGGGCCTGGAGCCTGCTTCGGATTCTGTGTCTCCCTC